ACTTATTCAATATTATTCTATAATATATATCATGAATTTTACAAGAAAAATGAATTTTTTCTTTTTTTTGTTTTAGAAGACTTTTTTTCTTTTTTTTTTTGCAAAATTCATAATATTTATTATGGAATAACATTGAATGAGTGGAGAAAAAAATTTGATGTAGTTTTCCATCTTTTTGGCGTACCATCTGTGAAAAAAAAGTTTTGTAAATCGACAAAAATTTTTTTTCGAGACAATTAAAAAAAAAAGTATTACAATATTCCACTTGCAAGAACAAACATTTTTTCTCCTATAAATTTTTTTGAATTTTCAAAATTTTCGGAGATAAAAAAATGTTTAAAAAAATTGTCACTTCCCGGAAAAAATGCACGTGTGCGCGTCGATTTTGACGAAAATATTTTTTTGACAAGTGATCATCTACAATGATCATTTAGGAAAAAGATAATAGACAGTGGTATCTTCTCTTTTAAAAGATAAGGATGAAAAACGTTTTGTAAATAATCACTAAAAATACATTTTCACACGTATAACTACTGAAAGTGAGTACGATACCCCAGCCCTTCGGAACTATTTAACCTACTGCAAATAATGAACTTTTGTAAGGAAAAATTTTTACTAGTTCTTTCTCTTTATTAATGCCACTAACAGTAGATGAGCTGGGTGTTGGTTTAGTAAATGCTCATTCTAAATTGTATGGTGCTCTTTGATATTCCAAACTGTTTGCATACTTAACGTTTTACCATTCTATAATTAACTGCGTTTATAACAGCTTCAATATTTTTTTGAATATCCTTTCGTATACTTTGTATATTGTTTAACTTTAGGTACATTTAATCACAGAAATTTATTCTTATTGCAAGTCCCAAATAGCGATAATCAAATTTAACCTAAAAATACATATTTCATACAATTACATGATTGTAAAGAAACAGTCGATACATAATAATTATACATAATACATGTATGCATATACATTTTTGTAAACTAAAACTGCAAATAAAATATACAAATAAGAGTCTTGATTATATAATATTTGAAGAAACTTTTTTTCAATAATATTGACGGACGGAATTCGAAAATAAAAATCGCAAGTACATAGAAAATTATTTCTATAAAGAATATTAACCTCTTCCAAAAAATTGTTCATTTTTTTATATATTGTATATCTACATTTAACATTTGATATTCTGTTGTACAGATTAGGATTTCAAAGACTAAAAAGATTGACAAAAATGACGACAAAAAGTGAAAAGGGAGTTTCATTTGTTAAAGATATGAAAATTTACTCGAATGAAAATTATCGGAGCAAGGATACTCATTTTTCACCTAAGATTCCATTTTTTTCACGAAATAAAAATTTTTTTATTCATTTATAAAAATTTAACGTATATTAATATAAACAATTATAATGTTTCCGTTTATAATATAGTATTACATACGATACTATGATGCTTCTTGTAATTGCTATATTGTAATATTAACTGTACAGTTTAACACTCAATGAAAATACAACAATTTAAAAGAAATTCATGTACTTCGCTAAAAGTGTGAGTATAAAATTAAAGAAAACGACAAACTTTATACCCAAAGTACTTAAATATTGATAGACGTTAAAAAAGGATCATTCTTAATAGTACTCGTAAAGAAATAAAATGTTTCTTTATCAGAACAACAGTTAGATTATTAGATAATCTTAAAAGTACAAGTGGTTTTTCTATTAAGACGAATGAAAAACGTTAAAAATTTCATACGTTACACAGCTGGCAAAAAAGCCGAGGCAAAAAATTACTGTGAGCATATGATTGAAATTATGCATTTCTAAATAATTTATACAAATCTCGTAGTTTTAAATTTGATGTTGAAAAAAGTAATACACAAAAGAAGAAAGAACTCTTATATGGACATACACAGAAGAAATAATAGACGTTATATTAAGTGAATGTCATATTATCGGATATTATGTTGTAAAAATATTGACTGATGGCGGGCAAAGTTTTTTCAAAAAGATAACCAAGAATTGTCACAGTGTTGTCAACCACCCTAGATTGTTATATGATTCCTGAATTACACGTATTTCAAGGATATATGAATCACATTTTCTGGAATGTAATTTCCAAAACTACTACGGCAAAATACTTGAGGACAATGCATATCGGAAATTTTGATAAGAACCGGAAAAATTGTTTAACCCAAAAATTTGCAACTAAATTGGAAAACTAGCACTATTGTTTTTCGTAAATGCTCTGAAAGCCATGAATAAAGTAGTTACGTTTTACTTTTCAATCGAAATTACATTCAATTTTTTCGGTCAAATAAGAGCTTTTTTACATTCTAATAAAGGTAGTATTTAAGTACTTTGGGTATAAAGTTTGTCGTTTTCTTTAATTTCATACTCGCACTTTTAGTGAAGAACATGAATTTCTTTTAAATTGTGTTTTCATTGAGTTTTCAACTGTACAGTTAACATTACAATACAGAAATTACAAGAAGCATCATAGTATCGTATGTAATACTGTATTATAAACGGAAACATTATAATTGTTTATATTATATTAATATACGTTAAATTTTTATAGAAATAAATGGAAACTTAGGTGGAAAACGAGTATCCTTGCTCCGATAATTTTCATTCGAGTAAATTTTCATATCTTTTGTATTAACAAATGAAACTCCCTTCTCACTTTTCGACGATATTTTTGTCAAACTTTTCGATCGTTGAGACGTTGCGTGTATATATTCAATTCCTGCATCAAATACTTTAACGCAGTAAAATTAATATTAGAAAAAAATCTTCCTTCAAATTTTGTACAAATTTCGTACAAAGATTTCTAATTATTTTCACAATAGATTAAAAACTACATTAAGTTTGATTCATTGCCATTTAATTTAATTTCGCTGTGTTTATTATTAGTCATTTTCACAATCATTTTAATATAAAAATGTTTGTTTTCTTTATATTTTATCATATAAGGTATTACAGATATATAAACCACTTCTGTTTTGTAAGTTTTTTGAGATTTTTTCCATATCTTAGTTATTTATTATCTGTTATTGTTACTTCAAGAACTACGTCCTCATGGAACGCTGCAGAGGTAAACTAAGTACCTGTACGCATTAGTCTTGGTTCCCTATAGTCATGAATATGCAGACTTACCTCCCCGATCATTTTTTAAATGGTGTAGGAGGATAAAGTGAAGTTCTTGTTAACATTCTGTTTTTTAAAGTCTTAACTAAATAAAAGAAATGATAAAAATAGAACTGTAATGTGCGCGTGTGTGTGTGTATAAACTTACAAAAAATGTATTTTACATGTTTTCCATAGAAGGATTATCATTTTTATCATTTTTTTCTTTGGTTAAGACTTTAAAAAACTGAATATTAACTATAACTAAGATATGAAAACAATTCCAAAAACTTAAAAAAATTAAATCAGAAAATTATAAAATTCAATATTCATTTATTTGATCTTAATTTTTTCTTACAATCTGATGTTCAATGTCAATCATGACTTTAAGAATCGATTGTCAATACGTCTAGTAAAATTTATTTGTAAATTTTGTGTCATTTTAGATGTGATTTGCAGGTAATTACCTGACTTATTCTATGGAGTATTTTATTCAGAAATTTAAATCCGCAATGTTAATAATATAGAAAAATTCGATATGTTTTTTAAACATTCACGCTTAGAATATGCATGTAACGCCATCATTCATAATATGTATAGTAGAACTTTACTAAAAATATAATGGTAGAATTAAATAAAAATAATTTCTAAAAATAAATAAAAAGCACATACGGTGGATGGAAAATTATAAAATCTTATTATGAATTATTTACTTAACTTATTCATTAAATTAAATTTCACCTAAATGCAATTGGTTAATGTTTAGGTATCACAAATGGTATAACGTTGGATGCCTCCTTATTTTTCATTATTATCATTTAACACAAGCTTATTTAATTATGTGTTCGTACTAAACATACAGAACATAAGATCCAGTTACCTGTGATTCTCATTTAAATATATAAATGCTTTACTCGCCTTATTATATTATAGATTTATTATTACATTGTAGATTTATTTTACTATTCGTCTATGAAATACATATTTTCATTGAGATTATTAATCAACGAATTCATTATTGTGTAGAACAAAGTTGCGTGCGATCGTTTGTACACCCGCGCGCGCGTGTGTACCTGTTGCGCACGTATATCACTGTAGCGATTCACCAATCGTTGTCTGTTTTCTAAAACACGAAATTTAGGTTTTCTTTTTTGTCTTTAAGTTTGCGTATCTATTAGAGGTTGTTTTGCCCTAGCAGAGCGATGTGAGATGGAAAAACATGAAAAAAATAGTATTAGAGCGCTTGATGGCTTCGATAAGAAGTATGCTGGTCTATATTTGTGAAAAATAGAAAACAGTGAAATAATAGAGCGAAAGGGCTAGAGGGCAAAATGCCAATGCTTATTCGGGAAAAAGGCACGAGATAGGATGAGAATTCAAGCTAATAGAGTGCGGGAGGAGCCGATCGAGAGGGTGTGGAGTTGGGCAAGGGCTGAAGAGGTCAGAGCAAGAAAAGGGTATAAAGACACCGAAGGACGAGAAATGGAGTGCGAGCCGAGTCGAGCTTGAGACAGTGTGCAGAGAGCGAGACGGACTGATGCGCGCGCGCTCGAGTCTGCCGGTGCTACATGTCACAGTCGCGGGTGCGAGTCGCTTGGTAGTGGGGACGAGGCCGCCGCCGAGTGGGCGGGCCACGGTGAGGCAACTCGTCGGATCGGCCCCCAAGTAACGCGGCCACCTTGCCAAGCGAGCCAATGCGATAGGGCTCTCGGGGAACGGGTCTGGTGGGGCTCGCGCCGCCGCGTCTCAGCACGTTTCTCGCTCCCTCCGACTCTCTCGGTCTCGCTCCATCTCTGTCTCTCTCCCGCTTGGGTCGACCGAGCCGTACGCTGAGCGAGCGAGCCGCAACCAGCTAGCTAGTCAGTCAGTCGCTCTCTTAGCTCTGTGCGACATGCATAACGCATGAGAGCCACTCCGAGACATATCTTTTTCTCCGTTCTCGTTCTCTTTTCTCTCTTCTCGGCTGTCCGTCTGTCTGCTTCTTTGGCCTGGACTCTGCTCGTGGCCCGTCAGTCTCGAGTGGTCGGCAGTGTGCTCGTGCAGTTTCGTCGCGTCGTCGTCATCGTGCCTCGAGTCCTGTACAGACCGGTACAAATTAGTGCAGCGTAGTGTGCAGGTGTCGTTGAGCGCAGCTGCAGAAAGCGAGGTGAGAGAGAGAGAGAAAGAGAGAGAGAGGGAGAGGAGAACCAAGTGAATGAAGACGAGTGCGCGAACCTAGAGCCGCGGCAGGCTCATCGCGTCTAAATCGCGACAGCCGGGGACACTCGGCACCACGGCATCTCGTCATGGTATCAACGTTCATCGTGCAGTCTCCGACGGCTCGCTGGACAGAGACTACGAGCGGTTCGACCAATCGCTCGATCGTTCTTAATAGTCATAAAGACTGAGTACTACGTCGATTCCATTAGTAAAGAGAGAACGAAGAAGGCGGAAACAGAAATAACAAATAATTGTTGCGCCTGTAAACCGGGGACGAGTTGCCGCCGACTGATCGGAGATAACCTAGTAATTAGAAGGAATTTGGCAAGAGGCAGCAGATCGCCAGTAGATGGCTGCTACGACGTACATGCCGATAAGTAGCGCAGTTTCGTCGGAGCTGGATGGTGGCACGGGATCGGTGAGCGGGATGAATATCGCCGTGAGTGGCTACTCGTCGGGTTCGCCGCGCAGCGCGGCCGACGCCGGAGAGATGAAGTACATGCCGGCGCCGCAGCACCACCACCATCATCATCATCACCATCAGATGACCTCGTCACCGTCGCCGAATGGCTTGTCTCACCCGGCTTCGCTATCGGCTGCCAACCCGTGGGCTTCGCTCGGCCAGCCGGGCAGCGATCCGTGGGCTGCCTCAATGGGCATGCACCATCCCCACCATCATCCGCACGCCCAGGCCAACACCGCCGCGGCTTCGCTGGACGTCAAGCCGTTGGCGGCAGCGGCGGCGGCGGCCCAGGCGCAGGCCGCCCAAGAGCAGGCGATGCAGGCCGCCGCCGCGGCAGCCGCGGCGGCAGCCGGTCACCGGGGCCCGCATCAGTCGCCCCCGGGCATGGCCTCGCCCCACCATTCTCACCATTCGTCGTGGCATGCGCCCGTCGTACCCTCGGCCCACTACAACCCCGGTGGCGGCTCACCCTCGCCGGCCGCTCTGCAGCAATACCACGCCGCGATGAATGGCATCCTGCAGCACCACCAGCCGCACCAGCACCCGCACCAGTTACACCAGGCCCACCAGCAGGCCGGACTGGCGCACCACCTGCGCGACTCGCACAACCACAGTCCGCCCGTGGGCGGAGGTGGCGGGAGCGGCCATCCGCTGCACCCAGGCCATCCGCTCGAGCGTGAGCACAGCGCTGGCGAGGAGGACACCCCAACGAGCGACGACCTTGAGGCCTTCGCCAAGCAATTCAAGCAACGCCGCATCAAGCTCGGCTTCACCCAGGCCGACGTGGGCCTGGCTCTTGGCACTCTATACGGCAACGTCTTCTCGCAGACAACCATCTGCAGGTTCGAGGCGTTGCAGCTCAGCTTCAAGAACATGTGCAAGCTCAAGCCCCTGCTGCAGAAGTGGTTGGAGGAGGCGGACTCGTCGACGGGCTCGCCGACCAACATTGACAAGATCGCCGCGCAGGGCCGCAAGCGCAAGAAGCGCACCTCGATCGAAGTGTCGGTGAAGGGTGCCCTCGAGCAGCACTTCCATAAACAGCCCAAGCCCTCGGCGCAGGAGATCACCTCGCTAGCCGACAGCTTGCAGTTGGAAAAGGAGGTAGTGCGAGTCTGGTTTTGCAATAGGCGCCAGAAGGAGAAGCGCATGACTCCACCCAACACCCTCGGCGACAGCATCATCGAGGGCATGCCGCCGGGCCACCAGCCAGGCGGCGGCCAGCCGGGACTTCACCAGCACTCCTACCACCCGCATGACCACCTGCAGGGCTCACCCATGGGCCACAGCCACAGCCCGCCGATGCTCAGCCCCCAGGGTCTCACAGCGCATTCGCTCGCGGCCCACTAGCGTTCGCCGGCGCCTCCCCCGTTGGGCCTCGTCGCCGCCACGTCGCAGGCCAACTCGTCCGGCGCGGAGGCCGCCGTTTTACCGCCGTTCTACCACCACTACCTTCAGGCACGCTCAGGCAGCTACAACAGCTCGTAGCTCGGCCGCGCCGACTCGTTGTCGCCGGTGCCGATGCCGACGCCAACGATCATGACGGCCTCGCAGACGACGCCACTGTACGCGCTCGACGAGATTGCTCATCAACACCGGGGAGGCTGCTACTGAATCTGCAATCACCTGACACTTCATCATAGTCGTTGACAGAACGCCACCGAATTTGTGCACTCGCTCTCTCGCTACCGCTGTCGTCAAGCTATAGCGTTCGCCGTAGTGCGTGAGTACCAGTGCGCGACTATCGAAGCTTCGTGTGTGCAACCCGCAACCCATCGAGGTTTGTCCCCAACGAACTATTTTTACCCGCAAGCAAACTGTTTTATGCACTTTCTAACGTATAGCATTAGTATCTACCGATTAAACCAATGGACGAGCCCCCCCGTGCACGTCAACCTGATCCGCAAACCCATAATACACAGCGCGGATAACGTAGCACGGCAGGACACGAAAAACGCGCTAGTCGATCGTTGCACGCCCGCGCGCACCAGTTAATGTAACATAAGTAAATACGAACTGTAAATAATGTACCAGATGTATAAAGTTCTAGTAAGCTTTAAGTGAAAAAAGCACGCGTGTGTAACGCGCGGATCGATTTTTTTCCTTTTCTTTAACTTTTTTGTTCTCCAAGTTCTTTTATTTGTTTAATTATTTTTTTTTTTCTTTGCGGGGCTTCCGCCAAACAAGCCAATATTCACGACAGACTGAGCGCGTACAAGAGCGGATTAGCGTGACTTATTAAATACGATTTATTTATAATAAACACAACTCGATTTTAATGTGCGAAATTGAATGTGTTCGATCACGGTTCTTCGAGTCCCTTCTGTACAAAAAAAGTCAGTGATGTCAAGTAGAAAAAATTTTAGAAACATATGATTATGAAGGCAAATACGTCGTCATATTTTAAATGTATATTGTTAATTATATTATTATCATTATTATCAACATCTTACTATTATCATGATTATTATTATTAGATGTCCGCATGCCATCGTCGCGATTGCTATTATTGATTGTCAAGCCCCGTTTTAAAGTTATATACAATAGTAATTGTCGAATTATTTTTTTTTGTATCTCTGTCGGTACCATTATTATTATTATTATTATTATTATTATTATTATTATTATTATTATTATTACTATTACTATTATTATTATTATTAATATTATTATTACTATTATTATTATTATTATTATCATCATTATCATCATCATCATCATTATCATTATTATTGTCATTATTATGATTATAACTGTTATTAAATTCACTTGTTCGGGATGGAGTGCAGAATGAGCATGTTGAATCAAACAGATGTTTTGTAACAACCCGTATAACTTCATATATATTGATATGAGAGTAGTTCATTTGTACAATATTTATATTTGACGAGGTACTTTAGTGCGTACTCCAAGTTCTAGGTGACGTGAACTAAAGTCTTGTACAAATTACCATCTAAACTTATGAAAGTAGCTGAGCGCGATACATGTATGAATATGATAAGAGTTTACGATAAGGTTATAATATGTTATGCTGGCGTATTGATTGATTGGTCGATTGGTTTATTTGTGTGAAAACCAATGAACTAATTAATCGATACTGTACAGAATATAAATTGTGAATAAACTAGAAGGAGTGAGATGTTCCTCCTTTCCATAATTCAACTATTTCTACTTCTTTTTCCTCCAACCTTTTCACCGAACTTCCTGAAGTTTATCACAGCATCAGACCGACTTCGTATGCAATATTTAATATATTAGAGGCTTATCCTTATTCAACATCGCAAATAAAAGCCATTATTCATGAAATTTCTTGCGTCAAATTCAAACTATAATATTTAGTACTAATACCTTCCGCGTACTTTTATGAAAAAACATTCATTGGCAAATTATCATTTGAATGCGTTCCTTGTTAAACATATAAACAATAAAAGTCGTCTAGTTTCTGCATTTAATTGTGCTTGTAAACAACATATATATTAATATGATTTAATTATATTTGCAGCTTACGTAGATGCTATCTCAATGCAAATTTTACAAAATTCAATTTGATGTATATTACTTTGCAATGCCAAACTGGTTAATTTATTTTTTTTATTACACTATTTATTGCGTGAACAAAAAATACATGAAAACACATTATGGTACCGGTACACATACTTTCAAAATTTACTATTGAAATATTCTTCATTAAAGCGCCGTAGACTATTTGAATATATGCAGCTTGTTTGCTACTATTTTATTAACATCTTTCTGTTATCAAGTGTATAGGCCAAGTATGGCTAAGAAATGTTCAAAGTATATAGATACTATCCCATATTATACATTAGAAAGACTTTTTAAAAACGTAAATAAATAAAATATAGTCCGTAAATTAAGAGATACAAGGTGTTTGTAAATTTGTGTTAACAACAAATACACTTTTTTCTGACGTATTATGAAATGGATTAAATACCTTTCTAAATTTACTAAATTTATTTACATATAGACAATTTTCTTTGTAATCAACTAGGAAAATACAGAAGTACCAAAAGTTGTTCAAATAAAATATTCCTAACCCTAATCGCAAGTAATAATTCGCTCCTAATGAAAACGGACGCAAAGAACTTCTAATTAAGAAAAATTTGTTTGTTATGAATAACTTATCATACACAGTCATTTAAGTTTCATGAATGTATATATATTTTTTTTTTCAGAAAACTTTACTTTCCTCTTTATTTTTATTCCAATAAAAACTATTGGCAATAATTTTTTCGTTATTACTGGATACAAATGATTCTATATGGTCACATTTTCAGTAGAGTATTCAATAATTTCTCAAATTTTTAAAATAACCGTGGCTTTTTCGGCTGCGATTTTCATAATTAGTAAAAAATCCTACTTCGCACTTCTTGCTTTCTGAAGTCTGGCTAATTTTTCCCATATATTATAAAATATGGTATTCGTTTCCACAATTTGGCTATACTCGTTATTTATATTTGAGCAATCCTTTTTTTACATGAGACTAAACCTTCAACAAACCAGATCACACTAATGCTGCTTAGTTATGTGACATTTATTGAAAACATCTAGTGAATTAATTTGTTGTTAAGATTGATAATAGTTTTTTTTAAATTTATGTTCTTACACGACACATAAAAGAACAGCCTAATAATCTAATGTAGCGGTCTGAACACATAAAACCTTATGAAAATTCATAATTTCTAAAACATTTTATTGTTAAATATTAACAGAGAAAACAATTAGTCGCTGAATTGGTAAATATTATATAAAATGAATTCTCTATCTAAATAAGAAAATATTCTTGTTCCAAAAGAAATTATTCTATGAAAAGATTTTCTATACAATATAGTTCTATAATTTTTTTATTACAAAAAGCTAAGCTTAGTAGAAGTATTATCCTTATAAGGTTATAAATTTTCTAGTTGTTATAACAGGATATTACCGTAATACAAAGAGATGAGCATTCATACTCTCACAATAGTCTATTAACAATGACTAAGTTTATTTATCATTATCATTTATTATTTACACAAAAAACACTGCAATAGAAATCTTTTTTGGGATAAAAAGATGTAATCTCGTTACAAATTTTCGATTTTCGATTAGGTAAAAAGTAAGTTAAGCTCGCCTTGACAATAAAAGTTTAATATCAAGACGAGTTTAGCTCATCTCGTGTCTTAATTTTCTATTAAATTCTTTGTTAAATAGGTACATGACAAAGCTAAGTATATTTTCTGTTTTGTTGACAAAGGCACTCGAATTTTTTACTTCAAAATTTCGTCTGAAAATTGCGACCGAACATTTTGATCGTGAATATCATCTAATATATACTTTTTCCCGTAAATATCGGATAACTTGAATTTTTCATAAGTATTTTGTTCATAATTATTTTGTTCATAATGTATAGGCATGGGCATATTCTTGTGCACGATTATGTTGAATAAATATAAGTAGACTCATGGTCGATCTATATATATCTATCTGTGTAGGTATAAATATATTCCTATATCTAAATTATTTCAAATGGATGCTATTTATACAAGTGTATTAGTTTTCTGCTGGATTAGAAACCGATTTTAGTTGTGCTTTGATATTTGAAAAATCCAATAACCCAAATACTAACAAAAAGAAAGCTAAAACTTAAGATGAAACTTTGGGAAAGCGTCCCTTATAACAAATAAAAAGACCCTTGTTTTTTATTTCATATCATTTCTCTTTTTTGTATTGAAAACCCAATTCTTTTTCTCTTTTTCTTTCTTCAACTTTAAGCAACTCTTGAAGAAATTAATCTACTGCAATGTACTGATCACCAATAAACGTAAGAATAAAATTTTTTAATTCGGAAAAATTTTGTGGAAAAAGATTGAACCATTCAAAAGTTAAACTAAAACAACATTCCTCCGGTTATTAAGCAAATTTCCGATGACATAAATTTACTAGGTAATTCCAATTATAAATTTAAGAATGGCATAACTTCTGAACGGTTCGATAAGGAATATTTTCTGAAGATTTCATCTAAATTATATCCCGTAGGTCTGATCTCTTTATTAATAATAACCACCCTTATAAAATAGATCTTACAAATTATTGGCATCCATTATCAAATTCAAGCTCTAAATTCTATTTTCACATATCCCAATACATTTGCAGATGATAATCTTTGCCTTCAAACCTGTAATAATCTATATACGTATAAAAATTTATTTAATACTGACACACCATCACACAAACACACATATATGTTGTATTGAAAACTGATTGTAGCGACAAAAAAATGCGTAAACTTAACCATACAAATACGAATTGATTTTTACTAACAGTGTTCAGGTATATTTTCTTACATGTTGTTGATTGATGGCAATCAATTCAAGTTAAATTTTAATGTTGATTCATTATTGCTATACGGAATACGCTATGCAGTGTCCTATTGCTGCACAGAACGGCCGTGATAAGGTATGATCACGTGACGCGTTTGATTAATAATTTCACATTGAAATCATGAAAAACGAGATATAAAAGATTTGTCTATTCAGAATGAGACGAGACAACATGATGAATGTAAAATAAGAGAAATCAGAGTGTACACGTGGTATACCGATATATAAGTTTGAAAAATAGAATCTTTGAGAAAGAGAATCGTGACGGAGGCATGAAAAGGAAAGAAAAAAGTCGTCAAAGTTGAAATAAAAATTAGTAAAAAAGAAAAGAAGTGAAAGAGTGTAGAAGGAAAGAGATAGTTGCAAAGTGAATGAAGTAAAAGAAGGACGATAGGGGCGAGGTCGGTGACGGTGGTGGGAAGGGATTGATAGTGGCGGCGGCAGGACGGTCAGGAAGCCTTTAGAGGTCGGCGCGGTGGGGTCGAAGGGTCGGGTGGAGTCGCCAGTAGCTGCACAAGACGACGAACGAGTTAAAGTGAATCAGGAGCGCATGCGCCTGATATATCAGTCTACGGCGCAAGCGTACGGTGCGTTATACCCTCTTGAGTCGTCAAGACTTTGTTCACACCTACCGAGGAATGACTTGCGCGACGCTTGCGTACTTCGCTAGGCCAAAGACACATTCGCTCCGTGAGCCTTGCGACGGATACGCATGCATACGTGCTCAACCCATAGCGCCGCGCATCTATCTCACGCTCATGTCGCTCACTTGACTCGACTTCATGCAAGGTCAGTATCACGCTTTTCTCTTTCCTATACATATCCCTTTTTAGTGTAGTTCACCTGTTTGGCATTTTCTGAATTTTGTTTTATCCTCTATCTTACGTATCTCTTATATGTCACACGTAATTTAAGATCTAACTAAAGTAAAGGCAATTTTAACTTTTTAACTTCTCCGTGTTTATATTTCATGGCTATTAATCCATTTAGAAAGTCATCTAACGTTTCAAGTTCTTTGGTTTTTGCTTCATAACTGACTTTTCTTTACCTTCTAATAGCAATTTTCATGAAAGAATGAGATGATATTCGCTATATAGAGTAACAAAATAATCATTTGTTTATTCGATTATTCACCCGAAAAATTGATTATCGTTTCTCATGCTTATATTGTTATATTGTTATATCTGATTAACATTTCGACTTTTATTTTCCATTCTATAACATCAAAGTGTACATAGAATTGTAACTGATCATATGTATACAGATTATTCAAAACAAATTATCTGGTCATTGGATTCACCGTATTGATTGATTGAAGAGATTGATTGAAGTGCAAGAAATCTATCGGTCAGATTATACAGGTATATCAAGCTGAAAATTAAGTTTCAAAGCTAGCGCCCTAAAATAGTATCATGAATTAATATTTGAGTTAACATCATAAAAGAATGAAGTTTGAATACTTATAAGACAAACGCAGCAAGGAACAATGTTAAAGACACTGTCAGGAAATTGCGTACGGGCCTGGTAATAACGTTTACAATCGAATTATCTCATAGTATATTGGATCAACAATAATTTATATCTTTTGTTTGCTTTGCTGACTATGCAATAAGTAATTATCGATATATACAGCGGTGTCATATCATATTAATACATTCAATTACGGATGCACGTATGCATAATATTACTAAATTTTTAGTTTTTTTTTTTTTTTGATTTAGCTATTGAAACTTATGACCACTTAAATCCTATTTGTTTATATATAAGCATGCTCGACTCT